TGGTAGCCTGCTGATCACGGACAAGCATCCACTACCTTCTCACTTCCTTCTGCAAGGTAAAAGTTGCTAACAACACCTTATGCTCTTCAGTACATGGAAATACTTCGAATAACTTTTCAATCTCTAGTATCCAAGCTTCAGCTTTCAGCGGTTCAAGTCCTCCTGGGAAAGTAGGCGGTTTCAGCTTGTTAAACTTCTATGTCAAGGTAACAATGTCACCATTGTTAGGTGGCTCCACTAGAATTGGTGGTGGATGAGGAGATGGAAACGACTGTCTCGGTTGTTGTCTTAACGCTTCTATCAATAATTCAACTATCCGCTCTAACCGGTCCATTCTTGCATCAGAAGACTCAGATGTCTTTGTAGGTCTTGTCTCTTCCATTGGTCTATATGTAAACAGGGTAATAATAAACATAGGACATATAAAGTTCACACTTGCATTGCTACCACACAGGCACATAAAAGAACCCACACACACTCACTCATGCAATTAAAATGCCCAAATTTCTTTCCTAGGACTTCCTATAGCTCATTTGGATGCGTGTGTGCGGTCGAACTCGTGCTCTAATACCACTCTGTCACGACCCAAATCCGCCCCTATAGGTTTAGTGTCGCAACCGGCCAGTAATCTGCGATTACCAAAGGCCTAACTGAACAAAGCAAAAGAACAGGGGTAGCCGAAGCTAATGCATAAAAAAGTAAGACGTCCAACGAGCTGTGACCTTACATGAGACAAAATGCATGGCTATATATATATATATATGTATATATACATGTACATCAAGGTATCACAAGTTTATTATAATACAGCACAACCAAAAGAGAAAAGTCATTCCCATCAACAACAATTATAACACCAGTGACAACCGACCATAACACGTGAGTGAGTTCCAAAAGGGTAATCACTGGGTCAGCTAGTGCTCCAATAGATGGGAACCTCGACGCGAGCCACAAAAGGTAGCTTGACCAAAATGGAGGCAAGATCACCGTCACTACGTCCCCTCCTGAACTGGATTACCTACATATATATATATATATATATAACGTGAGCTAAAGCCTAGTGAATAACAATTGCGTAAAGGGGTTTTGAATGATGATCATGATGTAAACAAGTCACAAACAGAACAGATTCTTATCTTATACAGAAAGCACAAAAGTACACGTGGTACATTCCATAGCAAGTTAATACAGGCGGTCTAGAAGACCGAACGGGCGGTCATAAAGACCAGTATGAAAATATGATGGCCATCAACATAATAAACAGGAGTTCTAGAAATAGGAACTGACAGAGATCTCTGTAATCATGTAAACGGGTGTTAAGGATGCCACGATATACAGTGTAAGAAAAATTATCATCATTCATAAGAAAAGGCATATTAGAACAGAGCATAACATAAAGTGAGAAAGAGATACTTTAAGTTAAACATATCTTTACAACAGTGTTACTCACAGTTGGCTCTACGATGCACGTGGCCAGGACGTGGCATTTGACCTACACAAATAAATATAAGCATAGCACACTTAATTCGTTATACAACCAACTAATCATTTTCATTATTTAGGAATTGATTCGCCTAAATATCCTTTACTCTCTTTTAATGCCTGTGGAACCTGTGTAATGCAAATGTATGTCAAATATATATGAAAATCACTCTAATGGAGGCCTAGGAGTGGGGTAAATGAAGCAGAAAGCTGAAACAAAGGCTGCCAAATGGCCGCACGTGCGGAGCTGTTTGGCCGCACGTGCGCCAGCAAGTGCATATATTGTAAAATGCTCCCAACACCTCCCTTGTTTTTCGCACGTGTTGGCCTACCCACCATACGTGCGCCACAACTTCCCGCGCATGCGGTCCTCCCAGCCGCACGTGCGGTTCTCCCAGCTGCATGTGCGGTTCTGGGTCTTCCAGAACCAAAAATTCTGTTGTGTTTTGGACTTCAAATTCCCAAACAATCAAACCCAAATTTGTACAAAATAAGGCTCACAACTGACTCAAACATAGTAAATGGACAAGCTCTACATTCAAATCAAGATCAAACTTTTAAAACAAAAATCATAAGCCAAACACAAGAGCAAAACTTGAAGTTGGGAAGGTTACCAAGAAAACTCAATGAAAAATGCCTTCCCCAAGCCCAAAACCCAAGCTAAACAAAAAGTAGAACATGCAAATGTCATGAATTTCTACTATTTTCTTTCATAGCTTCCAATTGTTCCTATGAAGATTTACCCTTAACCTTTTGCTTAGAATCCTCACTTAAGCATAAAGTTAACTCATTTCTAAAAGATTATGAGTGTGATTCCTCAATTCTAGAAGATTATGTGAGAATTCTTACCTTATGTGTTGATTTGGTGAAGTTGGTTTCAATCTCTCTTCTTCTTCCATTCTTTCTCCTCTTCTTCCCCTTAGTGTCTAGAATACTCTCCCTCTTTCTCTCTCTCAGGTTATATCTCTCTCTCTCTTTCTTATTTGAGTTTAGCATAGATATATATATATATATATATCTAATTTACTTAACTTGGCTTAAAAAAAATAAATTCACATCAATCAAATTAAGGTCAGTTAAATTATTTCTTTCTGTCTCTTAAGGTAATTGAACCTTACTTCATCTGATTAAGGTGAATTAGGCTTTACTCACCTAGTCCATCATTTAATCTATAACCTTCTACTTTAACGACTCAGACAGGTCTTTTTCATCAATTACCATATCTATCAGGTCAACCCTAGTGCAAATGACGCATAATTCATAATTAACTCACACATTGGAGCATATAAGATAGAAAAGTCACATGTAGGCACTCAAGTAAGATAAGCTGCAGAAATAACTATTAATTATGGAAGCGGGTGTTACACCCATTGAGGATTGGGCCATCATTACATGTATTCTACTTGTATCTTCAACCTTACATACATTCTACTTGTATTTACTGAATAATTTTTCACAACTATTATTCAGGAAATTTTCTAAAAACAAACTACCTTATAGGAAAACACAAACGAACAAAGAAAGATATGTTCAAGAAGGCCTCAAATATTTTCCCACATTTAATATGAGGTTCTGATATTAAACTCCACATGATTTGTTTCAAACACTAAATTTGTTTCAAGATTTCTCCCACAAAATCTCTATTTGTTTGAAGATTTCTATCACAAATTTCAGATCATTAATCAATATATTTGTAAACCTTAACTATCCCAGATCATTACTCCACCATTTCAACATAAACAAATCATCGAACACCTTGAGAGCAGAAAATCCAGGGACCGTGAGTTGCAGATTACACAAGCAAATCATTCCAACATTTCATAGGCATCTATATATATATATACAAATTACACAAAAGGGAGCGAAGGAGTTGAAGTTGAAGACACACATACCCGTGAGTTGCCTTCATTAACAGTTGAAATGCGATTCACGAACTGGTTGATGGTGCTGGCAGCTAAAGGATAATTTTGGTGGTCGCCGGTGGTCACCCAGGTTGATCATGAATAGCACCAACTAGGCTGGTGATCAACAGTGGCACACAGCTCGGCCAATAGGTCACGAGCTACAGTTTTGTCCTCCTCTCTCTTTACTCCCGCTTCGTCTTTGTTTTCCTCTCTATTCTCGCTTCATCTCTATTTTTGGAAATCAAACGCGTGCTTGCACGAAGATGTGCGATTGGGCGAAGGAGAAGACAACCCCTCGCCAACTCATTTAGGCCATTCGAGCCAAATGAAATTCGGGCTACGTAGCTGCATTGTACAATAATTATCATGTAGTTTATTAATAAAGCAAATTTAACTTACATTTGAATTTATAAAGAAACACCATTGACACCTCATAATAGATTATATATATATATATATCAATTTTTTTTTTGTTTTGAATATAATATTATTTATTTTTATTAATTTTGTATTAATTATTTTTAAAATTCTTGATGATAAAAAACTGAGGATGTGTAACAATTTTTATTAAAAAAAATTAAATGTACACAATTCAATCTTAAAATCGGACATAACCGCCTCAAATGAAATGCTTTCTACCAAATGTGTAAACCCAACCTCATAAGAGAAAGTTGTGATTGAATTTTGTGAACGGAGAAGAAGAACAACTTATGTGTCAAGCATGGAAGTGGTGAATAAGCACCAAAAAAAAAAAAAAAAAATTCCGACCTCAATTTTGACGACTAACCCAAGTGATATGCCATAAGCAACATCTTACCATGTTATTAGAGGTTGGTTTTTGAATTTTAAATTAGTGAGATATAATATTATTATAAGCAAAAATTATTATACAAGTCAAAAAAATCACGTAATTATATATGTTTATTTAACAATATCATTTTATTTTATTTTTTTTTAACATTTTTTAGTTTGTAGGCCATATAATTCTTTAGACTCCTTGAAGCCACGGCACGTTCCGAGACTAGTCAAGTCACACATAAACTAATTTGAATCCCTCATCATAAAAAAAGAAAAACAATTATTATTAATGATGGCTCACACTAACGAGTTATGTTAGGGATTTTAAATAATTTATCAAATTTTTTACTAATTTTATCATTTGAATATGAGATCTACACACATATAAATTTATATAAGTCACGTACCCATCTAAAAGGTTTGATAAATTATTCAAGATCATAACATTTTCAAATATGAAATTCGCACCCATGACAATTACTCTGTCGGGGGGTAGGTCTCATGATCTGAGTCAGCAACATGTCAAATGTCTTATAGTATATCTGACACGTGTACATGAAAGCATGCATACGTGGTGGACATGAAGGCCTTTCACGTCGTCTATATAAACCAACCCCTTCACCAAGGATCCTCTAGAGTGTTTTTTTTCTAAAGTTTCCTAAAGTGGTGTATTGTGTGGTTGAGATTTAATGCTGAAAAATTGATGTGACTTGTCATTAAATCTCAACCACACAATGCACTACTCTAGGAAACTTTAGGAAAAAAAAACTCTAGAGGATCCTTACTCAAGCCCTTCCCTTTCAATTTCATAGAATTCCGTGACTATCTCAGCAACTTTTCTCAATCCCTCTGTTTTATAGTCTCTGATTCTCTCTTCTTCTATGTTCCAGCAATCTTTACTTTCTTGAATTTTGAACTTTCTAGAGAAAATGAAGAAAAATATGGAAAACCCTTTTCGGCTCACCTCTCTGAATCACATCTCACTTGTTTGTAGATCACTCGAGAAATCAATCGATTTCTACACGAATGTTCTTGGGTTCGTCCCAGTGAGAAGACCCAACTCATTTAATTTTGATGGAGCTTGGTAAGAAAAAAACCCACTTGGAATAATGGAGTTCCTACTTGCTTTTTAATTTACTCGGGAAAATATTTTTGTTGTTGATTTGATTGATTTGGGTTTCTGGGTTTTAATGTAGGTTGTTCAGTTATGGAATTGGAATACATCTTTTGCAATCAGAAGACCCAGAACATATGATGAAGAAAAGCAAAATCGATCCCAAGGAATCATATTTCATTCCAGGTACTTTCAAGTTTCAATCTGATCAATTGTAATATGTTTTTATTATTTTCAATATGTTTATATGTAATTTGTCACTTCCTTGAACTAACTTGGGATGATGACAATAATCAGAATCTGAATAGTTACGGAAGGAACTCAACATGAAGACAAGGATGATTCTCTCCAACTTTTTTTGGCTCTATTAGGGCTTCGTTTGGGAAGCCAAGTTTGGGGTTTTTTTTTTTTTTTTGCTATTTTAATCACAAAAAACAAAGTAAGTTTTTTAGTTTAATAAGACAAAATATTACATTCAACCAATAATTATTATATTCTTTCTCTCACAAAAAATCAAGTCCTTCCCAAATAAGAATTTTTAACCTCAAACTAAAATAATTAAAAAAATCAAAAAACCAATTCACTTTTCAATCGAACCTTAGGTTGCATGCCAAAAACACAAAAAAAATTTGATTTTGATTTTTGTTTTTGTTTTTGTTTTTGTTTTTTTAAATTTAACTTGTGAATCAACATAACAAGACGTGTACATTCACTACAAGAATTTACACATTTGCCGACCACTTTTGCCGACCAAAATATTTTTGGTCGCAAAAAAATGACATTTGGCGACCAAATATTAATTAGTCGCGAATGATCAATATTTTTGGCGACCCAATATGAGTTGGTCGCAGAAGGTCACATTTTGGAGACCAAAAATGAGTTAGTCACAGAATTTGGTATGCTTTTTGCGACCAACTACAAATTTGGTCGCGGAAGGTTACATTTTGGCGACCAAAAAATTTAGTCGCCAAATTTGTATTTTTAGCGACTAATATTTTAGTCGCCGTTGACTGAGATTTAGCGACTAAAAAAATTTGTTGTCGAAGGTACTTTTTTTGCGACTAATATGGTGTTTTGGTCGCGAAAAGTTTGGGAGGGAAATTTGAAACATGGAGGGAGGAAATGAAAAATTTTTGCGACAAAAAAAAATTTGGTCACCATTTATAAAACGACGTCGTTTTGTACCCACTCTCCCTAAAAATTTGGTCGCCATTTATAAAATTTGGTCACCATTTCCAAGTGTTGCCATTTATAAACCCTAAACCGCTGCCCCCTTCCAACTCTCTCTCTCTCTGTCTCTAATGGAGAATGGGGACGAGTGGTTGGTCTCCGAATAAGGTACAACACATTCTCTTCTGCTTCTCCATCACCATTATTTTCTCTCTCCTCGCTTCCCTAACTCGCTATCCTTCCTCCGCCGCCGGACCATCTGGTTTGGATCCATCGTCTCCCTCTCCACCGGCGCCGCCAAAGAGGTCGCCGACGAGCTTGGCTTCTTCAAGTCAGCCGGAGCCTCCGCCAGAGACGCTGTTGCTGATCTCCTCAGCATTCTTCTCGCTGTGCTCGTTCTTTCTCTCACCAAATCACTCTCTCTGCGGATCAAACCCGATCAATCGGGTCAAATTCGAGGGGTCGAGATAGTTTGATCGATGGCTTGGGTTCCAATTTGTGCAATCGAGCATTTTGGAGTGATCAGGTTAGTCTGTATACAGTTGTCTGTTTGGTTTATGAGAAGATGATATACAAACAGAATTTTCTTACAAAAGTGAAGATTTGAAACTTGAAATAGGATCTATTGAATTTAAATACATAATAGGAACAACTCATTACTTATATCAGTTTGTTTTTAAATTTGTTTGTACAGCATTACTCCCCAAAAAAAAATGAACCTTGGAATTGCTATTGGATTCAAAAATTTCATTTTCAAGCTAATTTCAAGTAAAAAAAATGAATGGCTATTGGAATGAATTAGCCATTAATTTTCAATAGCAATTTCAGTAGAAGAAATGAAAAAAGGGGCTATTGGATTCAAAATTTTCATTTTTCAGATTACATCAGTTTGTTTAGTAAGTTCGTCTATTGATTTAGAAATTAGCTTGGGGTTTAGATTTTTCTGGTGCTACATAAGTATACTGAGTAAATCTTACTGCATAATTTCCATCTGCTGTTTGGTATAATAAATTATCTTGAGGGGCTAATCTCTTTTGTCCTAGAAAATCTCCTAGTTTCCAATCTAGTGCTGCATTATCTTCAGAATTAAATTTTTTAGCTGGTAATGCTTTTATTCCTTTTGCGCCTAATAATTTAACTATCTGATCATTAGTAAGTCTATAGTGAGTATTGCTTTCTGAGACTGCTAGACCTAAAAATCCTGTGCAAACTAATACTCCCTCAGTCTCAAAATATTAGTCCCTTATTCCATTTTCCATTGTCCCAAAATATTAGTCCCTCTTCAAAATTTAAGTACAAAAATAATATAAATTTCCTATTTTACCCTTTTTGATGATTGCTAAAATTTTATTAAGAAAGAGAAGATAACAAATGGAGAAGTATGGGCAAGATATGTAGAATGGAGGAAAACATAACTATTGTTTGATAACTGAAGAATTCCAAGAAAGATTAATCTTCTTCAAGTGATGCAGAATGGAGGAAAAACAGAACTATGGTTTGTTAACAGGAGAATTCCAAGAAAGATTAATCTTTTTTAACAACGGCATTGATGATAATAAATTTCTCAACTAAAAAATAAGAAGCTTTTTTTTTGTATATAGAAAAATAAAATTCCTTGTTGGAGATTCATCTCTCCTCTGTGAACGACAAAAAATTGTTTTTGGTGCTAAATACCAAAGTCTTTTCTTATCCCAAACTCCAACTCGATAGACATTACACAAACAAATTGAAAACTCAATTTATGCTATGCTTAAACCCAAAAGGAGAAAACAGAGATCAAATTTGATCTTGCAAGGAAAAATGTGGTTTGTCAAGTCTGCCTTCATGCCCTTTAAACATCTTGGGATAAACCATTTTTAACTTATTGAGCGAAAATGTTGAATTTTTTATTCCTTGTCACTATCCCACTGAAAAAAGCAAGCACTTAGTTTTTATCATGGGAACACATCAATCATGCACTTTTTTTCCATGGGTGTGTGAAGCCCACATTCTGCGAGTAACCAACAAAATGAAGATAAGGTTTTATAATGTCTGTTTGTAACTGTTAGAAGTTTATATATTTTATGCAGAACTTTTCTATCAAACATGTTATTGTGGATAGTTCATGACATGATTTATGGGCTTGCTATTTAGACTCGCCATGGATATAAATTTATAATGATGGAGTTGGAGCAATATCTTAATACCTGGTTAAGGTAACGTACTATTTAACCAATTTTATGTTTGGTTCAGAAATTTTCTAAATTGAGTCATTTGGTTAGAGGATTGTCGTCTAAGTGATGTCACAAATATAATTGCACCAAGCAGAACCATAGTTGCATGGATTGTGATTCACAGGCATATATATGTTCTCTGGGCAGTTGATGTTTATTACATGCATGTCTCTGTTAAGTCTTTTCCACCCCAGAAATGGAAGTTTTTGAGTTATTTCTCTTCCTTCTTTTTTAGTTTAGTGACAGTTCATCAAAACAATTGTCAAAAATTGCTAGATCGAGCACATGACGTGCATAATTTTAAGTCCAAGACTAGGTTGTATCTTCTGCAACATTTATACTACTAAACCTCCTCTTTTTAGTGATTTCGTCATTGAAAAGGGTGTTCATATTACGGGAAGTTTCCCTTCCAACATGTGACTACATCTGACTTACATACAGGTAAACATCGACTTAAGGACTTTCATATGACAACATCTGACGTGAAGAACAGGTAAACACTGACTTAAAAGACTTCGACTGTCTTCTGTCTACTCTTTTCTGTGTGTTGAACAGATATTAGTTCTTTTTCCAGTAGCTAGGAAATGCCTCCAAGGCTGGTTTAGGAGTGAATGAGCTAAGCTATCTTATTCAAATTCTGATAGTTTTTGTGACATTTTGGCGGATGTTCATGATTATGCACAACCACTGATCATTCTCATCATCCATGGTTTTACTATTGATTTGCATTCTTTTAATGTTCATGATTTACTCCTTTTGTGAGCGTAATTTTGTTGCTTTTGTGGTCAATTCTCCTACAGTGTCCAAGTCTGGAATAGTGGAAAGTCTCTTGTCATGGGTAGATTTTAAGCAGAGCAAGGATCTTAAGAAAACTGATGGGACAAAGAGACAAAGGAAAATTGGGATTACCAAAGCATAGTACAGGTAAAGCATAGTAGAACATCATCCCCATCTTCTTATGAGAAGGATTTTTGTGAATTAGTAGATATATATACCAGAAAGAAAAGGCCTGATAAAAAGAAGCATAATGTGATGTTTATATACATGTTTATACGCATGTGTGCATCCATCTATACATGTTTATTCAATAAGTGATTATTAACTTTATAAAATTGATGCATTCTCCTTGGGGCAACAGAAACACCATTATTAACTTTCATGTTTTCAACCTCTATGCTAATTTTTTTTTGGTGACTGGTAATGTTGTCACAAAAGGGTAGTGATGAGGTTGCAAACACTCTTATACTGCCAGCTTTCTTCTAGTATTTGAGGTCCTTTTTCTTGTTTGGTATGTAAGTGATTTATGCTTTTTATTTTCCCCAGTTGCCAAGATCACATTTGAGGCAGGTGCACAATGAATTTCATGAAAATGCCTTGCAGGTATGGACTATGAAACTTTTGTAAATTGTCTTGTTTTTCTTTTGACATATGCTTTATCACATGTTCTCTTGAAAAAGTGTGTACATGTTAATGAGGGTAGAGTCCAATTATAAATTAATTCTAGTTCAGATATTTCTGCAGTGTCAAGAATATACCTGTGTAAATTCACAAAGGATTATTGGCTGAGACCTGACAGATTATTAAGAATAAAACTCTATGTCAACTTCCCATCTCTTCTATGTTTTTGACAGCCTATCATTGTCTCACTTGGGCCTATTAGTGTCATGTTTTGTCCTATAATCTATTACCAGTTACTTGGAGAAGGTGAGCCACCAAATTAGGTGTAAGATGTTATTAAGATGTTATCATTACGCCCTGGACAATTAGGCACCAACCATAATTGTGACAACTGAATTATATAAAGGTTCAATCCTTCATATACTTTTCAGGTTGGGACTCGTCTAATTGAATTACTGTTGCAAACTGCCTATATACAGCCTCGGGCTGATCAGTTAGCTGATGGTCCACCTGATGTTCGACCTGCATTTGTACACCCATTAAAAACTGTAGTGAAAGAAAAGTAAATATCCATTTTTCATTGCTTTATTGATAGACAAACTTCCTGCTAGTCTTCAACACTTCATATTGTGGTTTTTGTGTTTTTTATTCAACAGGAACATCGACAAAAGATATGGTGTCATTGAATGTGATCCACTAGTTCGCAAGGGCCTCGAAAGAACTGTAAGTAAATCCATGAGTTTATTTTCTTCTTCTTTAAGATCTGCATTCTAAAGAAGCCTGATTTCTAATAAGCTACTTGTGTATGAGTTTGTGGGTTTCCATGTCATTTGCCAATTATTTCTATCCACTTATTTGGTACTACTCCATCATAACTTCCTGAGTAACCAAACTCGATCCATTTATTAGTACCACCTGTTCCCTAACTACCTGAAGTGACAGTCCAGAGATATTATGTACTTGAAAACTTAGGAAAAGAAGGCTCATATGCTATGTTGGCACTTTAAATTTGGGGTGTTGCGAACACGTTCGCTCTGCTATGATAGGACTTGAACCCACTCTCTTATGCTTGATAGGTTGTTTTGTTCACTTCACCAATCAATCAACAATCCCATAAGCTTTTAATAAGTGTATAAGAAGCTGAGACCAGTAGTTATGATTCGTTAAATATTCATTGCTTTTACGAAATTTAGCAGCAGTTAGCATCAAAGTAAATGGAGAAATATAGCCAGAGAAATGTCATCTTTCATTTCATTGGAGCTAAGAAAAAATTTGTTTCCTGTTTTGTTGCCTATCTCTGGCTTCTCTGATGGATTTTTTTCATTCAGTTGGGAGCAACTGCTGTCAATTTGGTTGCTAGAGAAAAACCTGCTGATGTTTACTCAGGAATAGCTGCTAGGTAAGTAGCTTTTTCACAATGCAAGAAGCTTATATCTTTTCGTTCAGGTTTTATAGATATTAACAGAGTTAAATCACCTCAGTTGACAATTGCATGTTAAAAAATGCCATATTTGCCACGTAGAGTTCTAGATATAATGAGGAAAGATGCTCAGAAAGATCCTGAAGTATTTCTAGATGCACTGTGTGCAAGGCTTTTAATCAATCAGGTTGGTACCACTACCACATCTACTATGACTACTAATCATTATTAGTAAAGTAAATTACATTGACCTCCTTGAGGTTTCTAGCCATTTCCTTGTGTTTTTGAAATATGCCCTCTCTTACTTACATCTAACATAACATTATGTATATACCTCCCCCCTGTTGACATACCATCAATGAGAATGATGGAAAAAGATAATGTCATCACTTTGTTAATTTGTAATGCCAATTTTATCCTTATTTAGTCAATGCAAGCAGACATTGTCAGTTATACCCACACCACTTGTCAAAGGAAAATATGATACTACTACCAAATTCATTTATACCACATCCCATGACAAAAAGAAAAAGAAAAAGAAGTTTAATTTAATTGAGCATCTCTCTTTCTCTCTCTCATTTGAAACCCAACTACAGTGATTGAACCCAAACACCATAATCCACCACCCCGACACTAAGAGAGATAGAGAGCAAGGTTGAAGAAAGCAACAGAAACCTTGCTTTGTGACGAGTTGCTTGTTTCTCTCTCTTATTTTTGTCTTTTATTTTTTTTGGTTTGGTTTTGGTTTTTTGATTACTTCTTTCTCTATATTGCTCTTATCATCACTGAATCTAGTTGATCAATAAACTTCCACCAACCAAACAGTAAAATCACATTTTGTGTTAAGGGCTGTTAACCAACCATTATGATAGGGGAGGTTTGTGTAATTTGGGAAACCTGAGAGACGCTATTTGTATTCGTTTAATACGTTACAGGTTAGTGGGAACAGTACTTATTAGGGTCCACAAGACCCAACAGGAAGTACTCTCTAAACCAAAAGAACAAAGATCTCAGCATTGATTTCTTTGACTTTGTGAGTGGGAAGCACCACCCATTCCTTTCCCTCAACCACATAAGACAATTAGATGCCACATCCCAAACAGCTTGAACTCTTCTCTGGGAGCAATCCTTACTCCGAATGCCCAACATATTAGACACTGTCAATTTATGTAAGCTTTCATATGTCTGGATCTGCATAAAATTAAAGTATTGCCCAACAATACCTATTATCATCACTGAATTTTGGATGCATATACTTTCACAACTTATATAAAGTAGAAAATTGTGTAGCCATTTCCTTGATTATCCAGTGAGCGGGCTGAGATTATGTATTTAGAATCTAGCAGTTAATGTAGTCATTTCCAGAATTGTACATTTTGCTTGCATTCTAAAATTATGATGGCTCTCCTTGATTAGTGTCAACCTCAAAGTCATTGAGATGAACAGGACTGAAATTATCAGCTATTTTATTCATGAATTATGTAGTTTACCGTTTCCTGATTTATTATGTTCCTGACTCCTGGGGATGGGGCTTCATGGGGTATGTAACTGTTCTGTTACTGTTATATGGCACTGTTGAGGACATATAACTAGATCATGTTCTTATGTATGAGAGTTTCAACAGGAGTAACTCAGATATGAGCACATGTTTTGATATGGATCATAAAGATGCTAAAAAATACTGTAGTTCATATTGATATATAATGGCAATTAGGAAGATAGAGAAGCTGAAGGGTTTCAGCATATGCCTCAGGGGATAGGGTTCTTATATTGGTCCTTTGATTTGGAGAGATATGAATAATTGGAAGTTTTTATTGTTTTTCATGCTGCAGGGGTTGCCTTTACAAAGCATTTGATCCATTTGTATTCTTGCACTGGTGGGTCCAATGACTTGCGCCAACATTTAGAGGTGAGTTGGGAGATTGCTCCCTGGCCAATAAGAAATAAAATCTGTAACTTCTAATTGGCTTTCCATTCCTTTGTGGTTACAGGTTGAAGCCCATAATGGTCAAGTTAATGACCTGGCTTTTGCTTATCCAAACAAACAGCTATGTGTAGTGACGTGCAGAGATGATAAGTTGATAAAGGTGCGTGGATTGTTTTTAGGAAATTTTTTGATAGGTTTATTTGTTTATTTGCTTCTTCACTGAAGGAAACATTTGAAACAGGTTTGGGATTTAACGGGCTAAAAGCTATTTAACTTTGAAGGGCACCCAGCGGCTATATATTCTGTATGTCCTCATCAGAAAGAGAATATTCAGGTATCTAAGATAAAGGGAAATAATTTGTTAGTTGGTAACCTATTTAGCATTTAATTGATTTATAGATGCAAGTTATTTAGCCTTAAACATGCCTAGAAGATGTATTTTGACATTTTTGTAAGGAAAAAAAATGAGGGGAAAAAAAACGGTTAAAGAATTTGTTGGGTCTGATTTATTCTGATTGCCAAAATAACAACAAATCATGCATAGGTATTGATTTTTTCTTGTACTAAACATACTTGGAAATTGTATTCTGACATTTTCACCAAACAATAGGTAAAAGAAGTCGGAATTTGTCGTACCCAATAGTTTCAAGAATCATATGAATCGTTTAACATGAATCGAATTGTGAATCATGCGATTCACCATCGATTCTGTCCCAAAATAGATTCACATCGATCTATGCATGAATCATGAATTGAATTGTGAATCAAATCACGAATTGTAAGATATTGATAAGATAGGTACTATTTTCAACCACCATTTTACCTCTTAATTAATGGGAACAGTAGGACGTTATTGCTGTTAGAGATATACTTTTGTTTTGTGGAAGTTCATTTTTAAGCGGAGAACATGTTTTATTTACACAATGCTTTCCACTTGTACATTTGCAGTTTATATTCTCAACTGCTATTGATGGGAAAATCAAGGCCTGCTTTCCAGTTGGCCGAAATTATAGATCCTGCTCAATGCCAGCAGGTTACCATGCCAGACAGCATGGATGCAGTCAACAAGGTGTGTTCCTACTCATTTGTTGTTGCAGAATCTATCTATTCGATTATGCTCGACTGACACATCTACATCCAGGTTGCTCGACTACTCTATACAAATTCCGGTTTTGGTGTTTTGGCACTTGGGTCTAATGGGATTCAGAAGTTATGGAAGTGGACACGCAGTGAACAAAATCCAGGTGGAAAGGTAATAGCCAGTTGGGAGTAATTTCATTTTCATGTTTTCCTGTTTCTTTTCTTTTATTAGTCGATATTTGTGGAGGAGAATTCTGAACTTGGTGAGGGTCTAAAGGCCACTGCCAATGTTGTTCCACAGCAATGGCAACCAAACAGTGGTCTTGTTATGACTAATGATGTCACAGGTGTCAACCTCGAGGAAGCAGTGCCTTGCATAGCACTCTCAAAGAATGACTCTTATGTAATGTCAGCCTGTGGCGGCAACGAACAATCTGGTTTGGGTTTCTTTTTAGGCTTGATTGGTTCAAGGACAAAGTTGAAACAGTATAAATGCTGAATTTGTTTCAACACCATGTCAAATCTGTGCACATGTTTAGCAAATATCCTTCTGTGTTATCCTTTTAATCACATTGCAGTTTGGTACTGTTATGCCATATTAGAAAGAAATTTGTTTCAACACTGTGTTCACTTTAGTTTGTTTTTTTTATGCATATGTCATTGTCGATGGATTGGTTGGTTTGTAGCTTGGTCATCAAGATGAGAACAGTGAGATATATAAAAGCATAATGCTAAACTGTGTCAAGTATTTAAATAAATCTTTTTCTGTTGATCCTCATTATTTTTATTACTATTATTATTGTTGTTATTATTAATTTTACTACCATGGTGCGCTACATTTGTATCTTTGAAATTATCTATTGATAGAAGAATTAGAGATTTTGTTCTTGGCTTCTCAAAATTATCTATTGATTGTAACTATGAATCTTTTAATTTTCTATTGTCAAATTTTATAAATTTGACCTTTAATAGAATTGTTCCCTTAGAAGATGAATTTAAGATCCTACATATTGTTATAAATTAATTTCTCTCTCTCTCTC